AGAGAGACATACTGGGATAATAATAGCCTGTGCCACTTGTCTGTCAAGTGACAAACTAATGTTAATACTATCTTAAGACTGAATAATTTAGGGAGAGATATTCTGAAAATGCTCATGCATTTTAGCTCCAGAAGCCCTCCTAAAATGTTTGGAAATCATTACTGTTTCTGAACTCCTTTAACACCTTTTAAAACTTTCTCCATTTTTAAGCATTCTCTGTATTATTAGAGCCTGACTACTTTAATACCGCAAACTGATTTATATGTCTACAGTGCCCTTCTTGCATATATATCTTGCATATATATTCATTTCCTCATTCATGCAAATGCTTTTAGTTTTCAATAAAAATGGTGGGAATATCCGTTGTCGCTGAACCCCTGCTTCACTAAAAGACAGGAAGTGAGAAATGAAGTCACAGGAGCCAGGGGCTTGCTGTGGGCAAAAGCAGGAATAAGGGCATGGATGGAAGCTGGGAATGCCCTTCTGTTGAGTGACTCTGCCTAAAAAAAAAGTAGCACATGTTACATTTCCCAGTGCTAGCAGGACTGAGTTTTGATATTTAACTTCCTTCAGATTCTCTTTAGGTAGTGCGACTAATAGGTCTTCTATATTCATGATCCTTTTTAATGTGGTTTCTTTAAGATTGGTTTCTGTTGCTGGTGTGGATGTAAACAGTTTGTGGAGAGCTGTTTACCTAGGCATGTCTTGTTACTAAGTCTCTTTATTAATATGTGCCATGCAACTCAGCTGTGATGATTTAATGGCTAAAAGTATGCTAATTCACACAGCATTGTCATGTGTAAATGACTGTAAACAAATACCAGCAATGAGTATTATAAATTCATTTTTAAATGAACGCATTCTAAGTAAGAGGAAACAGTTAACTGAATTAAGGTGAAAATTCACTTTTGAAGTAACCCCTTGAAATTCAGAACTTTCACTATAGCTTTTTGTGGCCTAGACAAAGCATTGAAAAGCAGCTCAGTAGAGGTGGAGGGGAAGCGTATGGATATCTTTGTTGCCACTATTATCTAGCTGAAAGTAAATTTTTTATGAGAGGAAATAAATTCAGACAAAAATGAGTGGCTCTAACAAGGGAGTTTCTTGTACAAAATATTTTTAGAGCACTCGGGAGCAATGCTTTAGACTAGCATTCCTAGTTCTTCTACTGTGTGGGAATGTCTTTTAACTTGTTTTACTGAGATATTCATGAAAGTTGGTAAACACAGCAGTACAAATGGCCGCGTTAGATATGATGCACAAAGCAGTTTTAAGGAAGAATCTGGAGTAATGGAGGAGAACTGAACGTTATAATAATAAGAAAGCTTAAGAAAAGACCATTCATTTTTTCATGATCAAAAAGAATTCTGTCAAACGGTGAATGTTTAAATATGTCTGTAACTATATGCAAAAGTTAGCACGTGAAGTGCTACTGTGGATGAATTAGAAACATTTTTCATTTTTCTAGCATCACTGGAGGTAAAAGTGTTAGTACAATAAATTACCTCAGGATCACTTTATTTCCATTAATGACACAGAAAATACAATTGAAATTATTCATCCAATAGTGAGTTCTTTAAACTGAGAGCTTTAAGCTTCTATAGAATATATTTAAATAACTGATTTAGAAAAAGGTGTTCATATTAAAAAAAAAGAACAGCTTTTACTATATGCCTATGAAAATGAAAGTAGTCAATTCATAAAAGAATCAAACTTCAGTTTTTCTACACAAGTTTCATATTTGGCACAGATATTTGTTGGTTTTTGTTCTGTACTCACAGAGGGAGAGGTAATATTATGTCACACACACACACAAAAGCAGCTGAGTATTCTTACTGCTTTAAGTTTTTTTTCTCACTTAAGCTGTGTTTGAAATGCTGTCTATTTGTAAACTACTGTCTACAAATACTAAATAAACTTATCTTTGTGGTTATGTGCTTAGCACCATACTGACTCACAAATATTGAATAAACCTATTTTTGTGGTTATGTGGTCAGCACGATACTGACTCACAGACTAATCACTGTGCCTGATGTTGGTAATAAGTTACCAATGTCCACAGTAATAAATTTTTACAGGGATAAGACTCTTTTATTAAAAATTGTTTTTGATTTTCAGTATATTCCATAAGAAAAGGTCAGTGAAGCATATTTTTTTTCAGCAACTAATTCTTGTCATTATCAGGAGAACCCTAGAGTCAAAAAAAACAAGGCTGTAGTAGGAGAGAAGGAATTAAATTTTACCATGGCATACCTGATTTACCAGTAAAGGGTCCTGCTAAGGTCTCCAAGAAAATTGAGGGACAATTATGCTTCCTATGCTTCCGCTGTCAGCATCCTAGTTCATCATGTAAAAGATGCTTGTGTATATGAGCACTGTCCGTTGCCCAACACAACCAAACATTCATTATTTCTGCCTTAATTGTAGTATAGTCAGGACGTTCCAACTATTTGTCGTAGCTCAGGTTTCCTATGCTGCCAAGCATAAGGTATAGGGCATGGGGGCATTTCTCCACCTGAAGCTTGTGTCTTCTGTACAAAGTTCAAATCTTAACACAACTCCATGGCAAGCATGGCAGCTTTATGGACTTTTGGAGGTTGATACCACTCTGTCTCCAAAGTTTTTGTAATTGGAAAAGGTAAGGCTAGCTGTGCACATAGGAGATACAACTTCTCCACTGATACTAGCACAATCTTTCAAAACATTTCCATAACAAACACTTGGAGAACCCAAAAATCTGTGCATTGCAGAGACACTGGAAAAATCAGTTGTTCTGAAATTGAAAAGCAAATACTGATTCCCAGATAAAGAGGTGTGGCTAGGACCAATGCTGCCACATAAAATAATGCCAGCAGGATAGTTGTGTGGTCCTTTTTTGTTTGTTTTGTAATGGATCCTCAGAGGATTCCAATATTCCTCAAAAGCAACATAAATTTTCTTGGCTAGCTGTAACATTCAGCATGTCATGATCAGTGACTGATGAATGTTGGTCAAGAGTTTTCTTTTAATTCATCTCCTGAGTTTACTGAACATACCAACTTTCATAATTGTGTCTGCAATGCTTACTGTGATTCAGCAATTAGAAATTCAGCTTTTTTTTTTTTGTTGTTCTTTTTCTGACAGCATCACTTGTTTTGATTTTTTCACCTAATCTGGGACACACTGATTAAACAATGTCCTCTGAAAAAATATTTCCCAACTTAAATTCTTAAAAGTGGTTGCCCCATCCCCTATATAACCAGTCCACTTTCAATATGGAGACAGTTTGAGCCTGTTACCTGTTTGAAGCCACTTCAGCTGCCATCTTGCACATCCAAAGTGTCTTTATTGAGTATTTCTGGGGTATTTTAGAATGAGATATTCTCAGGTGTTGGTAGTTAATGAACCTCACATAGGTTCTGACTATAACTCAGATGGGAGACAGCAAGTTAAATCTTACTCCTGAGAAACCTAAAATGGGTAGGAACTGAGGTCTGCTGTGTCTCCAACAGTTCCCATGGTCATATGGGAGCTGTTTCAGTCTTCACAATGTTGGAAAGAAAGACACAGAGAACCCAAGAAGGAAAGATTTTCCAGCCTAACTTTAGCGGCTTTGATTTCCAGTGCCTGACCTACAGTTCTTCAATTGCTGAAAATACTGAAAGCATGTAAAGAAAATCTTGAGTGCCACAAGCCAAAATAGCATATTGTAAGGCAGATGTAGAATACTTTTTCCAGGTGGGAGAGGTGGCTTCAGATTCTCTCCAAGAAGGAAGATCTAACCTAAGTCATCAAGTCCTAGCTGGCTTTTCCACTCAGTGGCCTATCCTTTGACCAGTTAAGGTGACTCACTCAAATTGCTACCTCCTCCTCTAGTGCTTTATTTCCTTTGCTTTTTCACGTGTCATGTCTTACTTTAAAATATCATTCAATAAAATGTTTGTTTGCTTGTTTGTTTTTCCTTTCCACAAATAGTCTAAATAAGTACATAGTGAGAGAAATAAAACTGAAATTATTTTTAATTTTTTTGAGCTTGGCAGCCTTTATGTGCACCACTCTTTTTATTAGCTGGCAATTACGCTTTTGGTGATGTAGAAATAAGAGCAATCGGATGGGACAATAAATCATTTTGACCTATGTATAGCTTCCATATATTAAAACCTTCACAGAATGAAAGCAGGGCTGACAAATTATCAGGAAAAACAATTATGGTATATAAAAGATTTAGAATCTTTTTCCTTATTTTTTTCATCAAGTCTGAAGTTAGTGAAGAAGGCTTAGTAGGGGTCTGTAATTGCTTCATTTGTTAAAAGCTGTTGTAAATGATTCTGGCTTTCAGAAGAAATGTCTTGTCAGTCTCGTATTTTGTGAACACAAAACCTCCCTGTGTTTCCATTACCGACTACAAGGCTTTTACGTTCGCTGCCAGGCAAAATGCCTAGAAGGCAAGGGATTTAAGCAGGGCTGCTTAGTTCTGCTCCTAGGCTAGTGCCAGCTGCAGCTCTGGGAATCCGCCGTTTCTTCTACTAGTCTCTGTAATGGTTATGTTCAAAACAGCTTGTGTCATCATGTCATCAACTTCATGTCAAAGAGACCTGCTTCAAAACAGGTGCAAGGACTGAGCACACTGGTTCGCAGTGACAAGGAAATAAGCGGAAGAATAACATCTCGATATCTTTCTTTTTTCTTTCCTGCCTTTCCATTTTGTGATTTTTGAGTCAAAATGTGTGTTTAACTTACCTTTGACAGGATTGTATACTGCTGTGTAAAGTATCACCTGTTAGCAATCTTTATGACTCACAGTGGAAACCTTTTTATGTATCAAAAGAAACGTAACATTACAAAAGAAATGAAATATGGTCTTACTTTGGGTGACTCCACAGCACAGAACTTTTCATAGCATGTTTTTAAAAATTTCTATGATTTTAAAAGCTTGAAAGTAATATTCTTATGTAGCTTTCGGTGACTTCGGTTGATACGTCCTACAGTGAATATATATTTATTGTTTTATTTCTTCATAGATATTTCATTGATCATAACACAGAAGAAGATAGGTATTTCACCATTGATTCTAGTGCTGGGACCATTAAGACTGCTAAGATCTTCGACAGAGAAGAGACACCTTGGTACAACATTACAGTGGCTGCTTCTGAGATAGGTAAATAATATATTGGGCACAGTGTTAAAAAAAATTAGACTGGAAGATAATAATTCTCATATTTTAAGAAACACTATCTTGAGATGTCACATTCTTTTAAACACCATGTTTTTTTAGGCAGTTTGGATAAAGGAGAATTTTCTCTGTATGTGTAAATTCCCTAATTCCACAGGACAAATAACAAAACCTGACACGCCTATGTGATTCCACCTATGTAACTTTAAAATGTTTTTCTGTATGTGATAGAAGACTGCCAGTTTCCCCAGGAACAGTTCTAGGCATTCAGCGTCCTAAAATGAAAGCTTGTCCCGTTTGTGTTTCATATTTCATATATCTTAGAGGCTAACACCATATAGTACTGTCTGAGAAATTCATCCTTCCTTCTTGTATCTGCTATTAACATATTTTAGCTAATTGCATGTTGAATATGCCGATATTAATTTATATCTGACAGGTGCCTAGTAGTTGCTGATTATCAGGGTACACCTCTGGCCTTTTAATAGGCCATTGCCAAATAAAAACACAATAAATACTTGCCTGTGCATATGAAAGGCCTCAAAATCTGATGAATTTCCATTGGCTCAGATAAGCACCGCAACAGTCAAGAAATGTCTGACTGAGTAGTCCCAGATAAATATTTTTACATGAGGCAAGGATAGTTTAAATAATATTTCAGTTAACCTTTTTATTACAGGGTCTTTGACACAGTCAAGTTTTAGACTTAAAAAAAGGCAACAAACCAAATGAAAAAAAACCCAGCCTGGATCAGTGGATCCAGTCCTGCTCAGTACTCTTTGTGATATGGTCTTTCAGTGGCAGTGATTTTGATCAAAACTGTATAAACTACTTTCATGTACATTCCTCTCCTTTTTGTTTTTGCCCTTTTTTTTGGTTTATTCTATCATTGTCGGATGACACAATACAATTTTACCTGTAAGAAGTGCCACTGATGTTATTGAGCCCCCTCTGCTTTCATCTGTTTCATCTCCAGGTTAAAATGGAATCTCTTCTGCTACTACATCACTAGCATGCACTATAGAGTTAATAACACATATATATTTTACAAGGACAACAAATTGTTTCTTGTTATTGTATCTGCTTTTGCAACTAAATTGACATTTTGAAGTAAGTAAATTGCTACTGGAAATACTAAAATCTGGATTTTTATGGTTAACTCTATAAAAAAAGGTAGCAACTGACACCTCAGTGTGCTTGACAGTGTCTTTGTTTATAATGTGTTATTTCAGTGCAGCATGAAATAAAATATAACTTAGGCCTAATCATAAGCAGGTGCATACTAATTGTTAGTTTGAATTAAGATTCAAAAGCCACATTGGGACATACTTAAAAAAGGAGCAGTCATTAGTTTTTTAAGAAACCATCTAAATGCAACTATTTAGCAGAAATAAATCTCAATAGCATTAAACTTACATGTAACTTTCTACACATTATTTATTTCACATAATCAAATGAACAGTAGCGCGTGTACCACTGCTGAGAGAATGGTATAGAGAATGGAGAAAGATTATGTTTATAACTAAAAGAGAATGGGATGAATAATGAGGATGAAATGCCATTTTTTTAAAGACAGCCTGCTTAGAATTCTCCATTCCAGGTGCAACTCGTTACATGAAAACAGATTTTTCTTTTTCTCTTGCATTGCCTTTCTTACTGTTAAAGTTGTGGTTGAAAAGATAAGTAAATCTATAATGTCAGTTTGAAAAACAATTCACTTATGAAAAAAGGGAAAGACAGCGGTGAAGAAGAGATGGATGGCAGACAAACTGACAGGCAGCCTAAATGACAGGCAGCCTTTCCTTGGGTCCACTTCTTTGGCCATTTTCTTACCTACAGTAATTTGAAAATTACAAAACTGCTGCACTCTTCCAAATCCATTTTGAAATCAGTAATCCGATCTACCGTGGAAGAAGTAGCATATGTTGTGCATACAGCATCAAGGCCAGAACTCTTTAAGTGCTATCTATCCCGTATCTACAGCCTTTTATGTATTCACTGCACAAGGCATTGCAGAACTAAGACTGAAGCTGAAAAATAGGTGGAAGGCTATGACCAAAATGTAACTTGGCTATGAGAGTGAGAGTCTCCAAGTTTGTCTGACATGGTGGAAGGCATTTGTAGCTTCTGACACCATTTGCTTAGCCAGGAACATCGCAGAATCTGCAAGGCCAAGAAAGGTTGTACTGCTTCAAGAACAAGAGGTGCTCTGCTGAAATAATCTTATGGTTATAGTTAGTTTCTTGACATGTTTTGCTTTCTTGACTTCACACTACCCTTCACTGACAGAATTCCGTTTCTATTGACCATTCTTTGGGCAGCTTTTTGTAGCTGTGCTTATTTTATGCAAAATCATATTTTGAATCAATATGATCAATCAGAATCAATATAATATTTCTACCTTCAAATGTATGATATCCTCATGTTTCAGCCTTATTGTTTCTGACCCTTTCATAAGAGGTTTACTTTCACTTTTAGTCTCAGTGTGTGAAACGCAGTCTGCATTGATCAAATGTCCCCCCTGAAATCAGTGGAAGTTCTACCACTTTTCTCCGTGGGAGTAATGTTAATGTAATGTAATGATCAGTGATTTTTCTGTTTACAGAGACACTGCCTAAAGCACACCAGAGTTCATTGCCACGAGAATGGGACAATCTGGTTTTGATTTAACACGCGCTGTTCTTTAACAGCAGCGTACAGTGAGGAAGAGTGTGTCCTCCAGCTGGGGCACACCACTGAAGCCATTCCTTTGATTGCTTTAATATTAGTACTTCCTGAAAACTCCTTGTGGTAGTAAGGAATAAGAAAGATGATAAAATAATACTACATTTTATATTGAAGGATCTACAGACTATGTTTTGGGCAGGGGGAAGGACTACAAATTGATGTTAATAGGATTTTAAAATACGGTTTCACATAGAATTATTCATATTTCATTAGCTTGTTAGAATTCTTTGGAAAAGTTTATGAAAGAGTATTTGAAAGAGGAAGGAGATAGAATTCCATTGGCTCTATTAAAGGTTTTTGACCAAGTCTTTGACAAGAACAATGGAAATAGGAAAATATAGAGCAAGTGTACAAAGTTTTATAACAGAGGAAAGACTGATGTAGAGGAAAGAAATACAGTCATAGTGAATGGTTATTCTTTTGGGAGTGGGAAAAGTTAAGCTATTTTAAGGACTGGTGTACGATCTGTCAATTAGAATTGTTTGTAATGATAGAACACAATGATAGGAAGTGATTCAGATGATACCCAAAAAACCTCCCTAGCTGCTAAGGATTAAGGAAGATTGAGAGAAATTCATGTAAGAACAAGATACATTGAGGTCTGGGATAGACGAATGAGTGGTGAAGTGGATTGAAAATTTTCTGAAATGGCAGTCTCAAAGGGTTGTGATCAGCAGCCCAAAGTGCAGCTGGAGGCCAGTCACTAGTAGAGTACCTCTGGGTGCAGTAATGTTTAATCCCTTAATTAATGACATGACTGATGGGACAGAGCACACTGTCAGTTTGCAAATGACACAAAACTGGAGTAATGGCTGATAACACGAGAGCATCGTGCTGCCTTCCAGAGGGATCTCAACAGGCTGGAGAAATGTATGAAGTATATGAAGTTCCATAATGGTAAATGCAGAGTCCAGCCCCTGGAAAGGAATAATCCCATGCACCAGTACACGTGCAGGGCCAACTTGCTGCAGAGCAGTTTTTCAAAAAAGGATGTGGGGCTCCTGGGGGATGCAAGTTGAACATGAATCAGCAATATGCCCTTGCGGCAAAGGCAGCCAACTGCATCCCACACTGTGGGAGGAAGAGTGTTGCCAGCAGGTTGAGTGACATGACCTTTCCCCTCTACACAGCACTGGTGAGGCCACAGTGGAATTCTGCATCCAGATGTGCGCTCCCCAGTACAAGAGAGACATGGAGCAACTGGAGTAAGTCCAGTGAAGGGCATGAAATCATTAAGAACTGGAGTATCTGTCATATGAGGAGAGGCTGAAGGAGCTGGGACTGTTCAGCCTGGAGATGGAAGCTCAGAAGGAGCTTATCAATGTGCTTAAATACCTGATAGGGGGAGTAAAGAAAATGAGTAAATACGAGAAAAGATGACAAAAGACTCATCTGAGTGGTATCCAGTGAAATGACAGGAGGCAATGTGCACAGATTTAAATACTGAAAATTCGACGAATTGGTCAAAAATTGGGACAGGTCTCCTAGAGAGGTTGTGGAGTCTTTGTTCTTGGAGATATTCAAAACCCAACCTGGACATGGCTCAGCGCGATGTACACTAGTTGACCCAGCTTTAACCAGGGGAGTTGGACTTGCAGCTCTATGGAGGTGCCTTCCAACCTCAACCATTCTGTGATTTTGTGATATTTGGAACTGTGTGTTGAATGTGGATAAGAAAAAGGACAACCATTTCTCACAAATAGTGATGTATTCTCAAACAAAATAGGTGACTGTAAAAATAATTGTGAGTGTTTCAGTTAAGGTTTATCTCTAGCATATAGTACTGCTGATAACAAAAGCAAAAGCAAGAATAACAGCAAAGCCCTAAATCACAGCCCCTGCAAGAGAAAGTTGGCACTAAAATATAAATGGATGGACTTCTGGCTGTTCCAAAGCCAATTTCAGTTAGAAAAATAAACATATACTTCGAAGTTTTCAAAGCAGTGCTGCAAATAGGAGTAATAATAATATCCTTGAAGTCTTTGTGCTCAATAAGAAGGAATAAAAGCTGCAGGGAGAAATAAACACTGATGACTGAAGGAATCAGAGAATGTCTTGATTTGAGAATCAAAGTGAGAATTATAGCCTTCACTCGAAATTTCTACTTAGAAATATAACAAGGAAGACTGTGTCAGGAAAATCCTTTTACATATTAATTCTAACAACTGAACTGAGTGTGTTCAATATCTGCTCAATAGACACAGAGCAAACTAGCTTCTAGATAATGGCTTTCAGATGATGTTAACATCAAGATGGGA